TCCCTACTATCATCTTTATTAAATTAAGGTCAGAGATCCCATGGCATTGTTAATGGATACAGGTGTTAGGTGTTAACCCTGGTGCCCTGACTAAATTCTACCCTGGGCCTAAACAACTGGCCCTGCCTGAAGGTGCCCTCTTGAGTAAATTCTCACTTCTCTACATGATCTGCTGTGTAGTGGGGCAGCTGTGTGTCACCCAGGTGGGAGCTGCACTTCAAAGCTCTTAGGGCTCCTTTGGAATAAATGTAGGGGAATATTCTTAATTCACATTAATTCATTTTAAATTCATTTAGATTCAATTTGATAAATAAACTTGGAGTTCATTTTAATTAACAATAGACAAAACACATAATGTTGCATAATCTAAAAGTGCTGCAATAGAAACTGCAAATCATCACTACATTAAGAGGACAAAAACAGAAGGATGCAAAACGTTTTCTAAAAATTAAATATATGGATTTATAATTTTTAGATTTGTAGACATTGTTTTTAGATATTTTGGTTCATTTAGATGTAGATTTCACTACTCATTTCATGAGAAAATGTCAAGATCAATTCCCACACAAAAGCAATTTTCGTTATCCTCAGGTGAAATAATCCCACACTTACTTTTTATAAATACTGGTTTGGAAACAAATCATGAATAAAATGTTGGCAAATTAGATTCAAACATTAAGGATACCACAAAAAGACCTGGGTGAATGTAAAAGCAGGTTAATAAAGGTTAACTTCATCTTGAAAGTATATAACAAATGTAAAATGATGTAGATCCTTAACCTTATCCGCCCTTTCATTAGGAAGATGTCTTTGAGCAAAGTACTGCAGGGATCTGACATTTAGAATGATTGTCAGCCACAAAGAGTTTGCGTGTTTAAGCCTGCCTCATGGCTTCTGCACATATATTTCTCTGCTTCTATGAAGCCAAATTCAAACTGTACCTGTATTTTTAAGAACGTCCTAAAAAGTGGGAATGATTCAAAGCACTCATCCTATCAATGTATATGGTATATTTAGACAAATGCTATTATATAATAAAAGAGAGGCAGGTAACTTTTTCCTTCTGCGATACAATCGTGATTAATCTGATACTATGTTCGCAATGAAACTGATGCTTTTGTCATTTTATGCATATGTTTGTACAGTTAAAGCTAAATGAAAGTACTTGAGACCTCCCCACTTGAAAAAGGGCAGCACAGTGATTGAGTTTTGGAAAAAAGCACCTTATTTGCAAAGGAGTGGTGTGTTTCAGTACAACCCACCCTGCTTGTGTAAACAAGGATAAGAAATTTCTTTCTAGCTATGGCATACTGTAGAGGCCTTGTTCCCAAGGGCAGAGTAATGAGATGAGGTTTCCCAGTTTCTTTCCTCACTGGAAGCTGAGATTCACCTGGGAAAGAGACAGCATCTTGAAATAAAGAACCCCACCTCTGGGAGGAAACCAATGTACTAGTATAAAACCCAAACAAACATATGTAGAACCTAGAAACCCCACAATGAGCAGCCATGACCGGAACTGACCTACCATGACATGACCGCCATAAGATAGCAAGACTCACCCCCATGCTATCCGTGCTTTTATATAATGCTTTTGTAAAGTTGTTTTTTCAAAGTGCCTTTTTTCTAAATTTTAATGCAATAATTTTAGAAATTTGGTTTGAGATTCCTGACTATACTGAATTTGCAATAACTATACTTTATGAGTTACTCAAAAATATCAAAATCAAACAGGACAAACTCCTTTAGTCTTCGTCATCTTCATTGTGGATTAATTTTGTGAGCGTGTCGTCTTGGTTAACTAAAATGAAAACCAGGACTTTGGTTAAACGAACACTGTATCTCTGTTATTCCGAGCGCACCACAAAACAATCCTATCAACCTGAAGGGTTGGTTTGGCAACAAGCTTGACTTTGACTTTGTCCGTAAACGATGGGTTGAAAAGCGCAACCTGTGACACCTCTCATGAGGAAGGCCAGCAGTCAGCGAACTCGTCCAGATCACTGCCTAGCCAAAACTGTGTGCCCCAAGGAGGCCTCGTGCTGCCAAGTCTCAAGTAAATAATTTTGGATCAGAGAGAATGTGCATCCTGACAATCTGGCTATTTTCATTGATTTTGTTACCGGGCTGCACCTTTGGTGATCTCTGTGTGTACATGCCTTTTCTCTTTCACTCAACTTTCTCCTCTGACATTGGACAGAATATGCCTAATTGGTGAATGGTAATGAGAGACAGGATGAAAAATCTGACACCTCACAATTGCCCCCAACCAAGTGAAAATTGAGCAAAACTTTTTTTGATTTTTGTGAAACATTATCCAAAGTATTTGTTACTTTAATATTTAAATGAAAGGAGAAATAACAACAAATGCTCTTGTTAACATACTTTAAATTGAGATGTCTCTACTCCCCATCTTAAACTGTGCTGGTGTGGTTGACAGAATGACCTACTGCTCTCGGTTAACTTGGTCTGGCATTTCAGTGAAAAAGATGCATCATTGGCGCCCCCTAACGCACTCATTATTAATAGCAAGACCCTCTGCACACCAGACTAACTTTTCATTGTTTTGATAAACAGATCTTTAGTTAGGAAATAATAATAATAATAATAAACTTTATTTTATATAGCGTCTTTAAAGGTGGCTTCTCAAAGTGCTTTACATGATGACAATTACAATAAATAAGAAGAGTATAACAATAAATAAGGAGAATACACAAGATAAGACACAATTACAATACATAGAGGAAACCGTGGATGGTGGTACTAAGAAGAGGAGAGGGGTGAAGAATGGAACCAGTTAAGTAAAGGCTTTTCTGAAGAAGAGGGTTTTGAGTCTGGATTTGAAGGAGTTTAGAGAAGGTGACTCTCTGATATCCTTGGGCAAAGAGTTCCAGAGCTTGGGAGCATAACAGGAGAAGGCCCTGTCACCCATACACTGTAGACGGGCTTGGGGGACAGTAAGGAGGGCAGAATTTGAAGAACGGAGGTTGTGAGGTGGGGAGTAGGGCAATAATAGTTCAGATGGGTACTGAGGTGCCAAGCCATGCAGAGTCTTATAGGTGAGCATGAGGATTTTAAAGTCTACATGGACTTTGACCGGAAGCCAGTGCAAGGACTCCAGGACAGGAGTAATGTGAACACTTGCAGGAAAGCATCTTCATTTATTAATCTGTTGTAATTCTTTTGTTTCAAGCTACGGTTTAAGATGCACTAGCTTTACTGAACATTTCCAAAAGCAGCTACCGACTTTGGGCACAAGTCAGTGCAGTTTGAAATTGCAATTAACTGACAATGTGTAGAGTAAGTTGAACTATCCATTTTCTTATCTTGAGGGTATTTTCAGCAGTATGAATCTTTTCTGCAAGGCGCTTGCGTTCTGTTGTTAAGCATCATCTTTTTTTATTGATTATTCTTTTCATTCTCTGATTTGTCTCTTATTGGGTAAGCCTTTCGGCCAAGCTGTTGGTGAAATGAGAATCGCTTCTCAATTGACATCTGGATAAATAAAAGTTTGTTATTATTTATCAATTTCTTTTAAAGGTCACCCTGCTCTTTAGTGAAGATGTCTGTCCGATTAGGCCATTGTTAATTTTTAGATTTCTAACAGAAAACATGTAACAAAATAAAATTATATAATTTATTATTTCATTTTTTCAGAGCTACTTCTGTAAGGAGAACAAGAAACTATAATAACTCATTGAAAAAACTGACCTACTATCGTTTCCCAACTTATGTCTTTCAGTTGACTATTTTAAATTCAGTGCACATCTAGTAGGTAACTGTACATCTGTAGGTAGGTTTACGGAATGAATTAAACCTATCGAATTCAGCTACAAAACCTTGTTTTTATTTGAACCTTTGTATTGTCACCTCACCTGATTTACCAAATGAAAAGTTGAATATCCCAGATTTAAAAAAACAGCTGTCTCTTTTCAGTTTTGCTGTTGGAGGCCTGAGAATTGTGATGTTTGTAAAGTGTTGTTTTAGTGGATCTGTGGGACTCCTTGGAGAGTTAAAGTTCCTCTATTTAAATTTAATTTAACTATTTGACTTTCAGTAAACGTCTATATTTAAGTATAGAGTTTTTATTTTTAAATAAGCAGTTTGATATTACATAAGTGATTGTATAAATTATAGGGACAATTCACTTAATAAATCCATGGACACACTGTATTCCAGATTTGCTGCTTATTCTTCTTTTTATATTTAGGTCTATAACAAACACTGGGTATTGGATTTAGGTCTAAAAGACTGAATACTTAAAGGTGTACTTTTCATTTAAACGTATTTATGCCAATATTGTATTGGCATGTACATTATAAATACAAAATATTAACATTGCCTTAACAAGCATCATTGCTTTACAATCGTTTGGTTTAAGAACTATAAATTGAATGAAAGGTGTCATTTGAAACTTTATTCCGACTCTTTGTGTGTCCTGCAGGCGGTGTGAATTTGACAGAAGCATCATAATTTTAAAACTACTTTCCCTATTTATAAATGCACACCTCTTGTTAAAAGGGTTTCGGGGCTTCAGAAGAGTGCTACTAATGTGCTATCGAAAAGACTCTGCACAAACGAACCCCATTTATAAGTACGTAATGTAAAAAAAATATAGTCGCTCTCTTTGGCCAGACAGCGCGGAGGTCTATGGGACTTGTAGTTTTTAATCGAACTTTACATTCGTTAACCTACATTAGCAAATCTAATTTAAAATAAATATAAAGTGTGTCTCGTGCTTTGATGTAGCAAGCATACACTTTTCCTTTATAGTTTTTTTAGACACACAAACATTAACCCCCCCCTTCTCTTGCACAAGTACGTCTCTAGCTAATACAGAACGCAGGACGTCAACACGTCCCTCCATTTTGCCCATTTTTTGCTCGAGCGGCCAAACTCCCACGTGAGCCGAGCATGCTCAGTGCGCAGGGCCCGTACGTCAGCTCGTCCGCGCCTGCTCAGTTTGGCCGAGCTCCCGCTCTATATATAAGAGCCGCCGGCTCCGTCCCGTTCCACCTTCAGCCATTTTAGCCATGTTGGGCGCTGTAGGACGCTGCTGTACCGGGGCACTCCAGGCTCTGAAGCCTGGGGTCAACCCCTTAAAAGTCTTCAGTGGAACTCCAGCAGCTCTTTACTCTCGTAAGTCAACCTGGATTGCACGCTTTTTGTAATAAAAACGTCCTTGGTGGATATTCCGGTGGCGCTATTAAACGAAGCACAGGGCAGGGCAGTGTCATCATGTCTGCATGCTGACAGTACCTTGTCTTCAGCAGGCCTGTGCAGTATTAAGTAAAGATGCCGTTTTCGGTGCTCACGTACGAGTATGAATCTGAAATGTCTCGAAAGTTCGTAAAAACATCCGTGTAATAATCCGTATCCAGTTGGGGTCGTTTTGTAGGCGGGTTGTGGTCTGAAAATCCCAATGACCTTTATTTGTCATAAGCAGCCTCTGGTCTAGGCCCGATTGATGAAGTCTACGTTGTTGTTTTGTTTGTTTTTTTTGCCATGTTTCCACAGTACGACTTTCTCATGCACAATAGCCCCTTGGCATGGATAAACATTTTCAGATTTAGATTCTTGTTTTTGATATTTTTGTGGGTGGCAGTAGGGAGGTGGTAGGCAGACTGGCTCAGTGCAGATATTCTTAGCTACTCGCAACAGTCCACGGCACGTTTTTATTTTTCACCCTGTTTTCTGCCACCGGTTTACATGCAACTTGAATTTTGTGATCTTCAGCGTCGTGTGCCCCGCTTGGATGTCACCTTTATTGTTAAGCTACCTGATGGTTCCCTTATTTGTTGGTAGCGGAATGCACTGTATACCCTTTTCCAGCGTGTATATATTTGTATTTTAGCGATTGTCTGATTTTTTTTTTTTTCGCAGTTTGAATCCCTGTATGCCGAGGACGTTTTGTCCTTCAACCTTAAACTCCAGGAAGTTCACCGTCATTGACGGGAGGTTTCTAAGGAATCGGAGTTCAGTGTTGCAGTGTGACGAGTCTGATACTTGTAAACGCTGGTCACATTCATCTTTAAAAAAAAATCATTTTAAAATATAACGTCCTTTAAACTCTTAATCGTGGATACGGCCTGCGCTGTTACGGTTTTTCACGGTTAAGGTGGCTGAAGACCTGTGGCTTTGTTGTATATGTCCTCATAAGAGCCTCTGGCAGATTTCAATTATACTTGGCTTGGTGCTGTACTATTTGGCCATGGTAACGGTGAACTATGCATGTCCACAGGCCGAAACTATGCTGCTCAGGCTTCTCCATCAGCCAAGCCTGTGACGGCCAATGGCCGCATCGTGGCAGTCATCGGTGCCGTTGTGGACGTCCAGTTCGATGAGGGCCTGCCTCCCATCCTCAACGCGCTGGAGGTCGCCGGCCGTGACACCAGGCTGGTGCTGGAGGTGGCACAGCATCTGGGTAAGTTTGCATTTTGTGCCCATGCTTCAGGATGATAATACCAGGGGACAAACCCCCTTAGCTCATGCAGTGTTGGTAATACAGCTACTGGATTAAGCTGAAAAGGTGGCCTGGCTGTCTTGCAGTTGAGCGTTGCCCGTTTCTCTACAGGGGAGAGTACTGTGCGTACCATTGCCATGGATGGCACTGAAGGCTTGGTACGTGGACAGAAAGTCATTGACACAGGGGCACCAATAAGGATTCCAGTCGGTCCGGAAACCCTGGGCAGAATTATGAATGTCATTGGCGAGCCCATTGATGAGCGAGGACCAATCAGCACTAAGCAGTAAGTACTCCTTGTGGTTGCTTGTACTCTCTCCTTGTTCACGCAGATGGATTAATAAAACTTGGCTTGCCGGATGACTGTAGCTCTTCCCCCTTGCATCAAGTTTGCTTCATTTTTCAGGACTGCTCCCATCCACGCAGAAGCCCCCGAATTCACAGACATGAGTGTGGAGCAAGAAATCCTGGTCACTGGTATTAAGGTTGTTGACCTGCTTGCCCCTTATGCCAAGGGTGGTAAGATCGGTAAGTTAAAATGTCTGTCAGAAGAATGACCCTGAACAAGGGCTAGCTCTCTTCAGACTCTAGGTATAATGCTAAACATTGGTCAAATTTACTACTATATTCTAGTTATTGCACTGGATGCAAGGGCACATAATAAAATGATATGCTGCAAATGGATAAGTGATCAAATGGAGTTGAAAATGAAGATTTAGTGCTGGTTTCACGCTAAATATCTCTTAGGTTGCTTAAAAATACGTTGTTTAAAGCTTATTTGCACCCTGGCTCTACCATTGGCTTAAACCTCAGTGATACATTAATCTTTTTTTTTTTTTCCAGTTTTACACATTGCATGATTTAGGAGTCATTTTGAATAATATATAGGAGCTAATTTTAATGTACACTGAAAACGGTGTGTAACAAGTGTTTATATGAAGCATGGTTTATGGCTAGCATCTAAAACCTGCCAACAACAGTGTTTTGCACCACTGTGAATATTTTGATCAGTCACAATTTAAAAAAGTGGCACTTGGGTGTAATTGTGATAGCGTTTGGGTGTATAATTACTTTCATCAATTGCTGCAGTTGTCATGCCGTTCAGTGTCTGAAGTGGCAGTTTACATTTGACCTGCTCTTTTAAGGATCATCCTTAAAATTAGAATGCACTTCATATTTGACTTTGCCTTCTGTGTTTTAATGCTTTTCATAATAGGCTTGCTGAAGGGATTATTTCTACTTAATACTTTTAAATTTCATGATTTATAATTTGTAATGTCCACAGGAATGGATGGAATACATGTGGTCACTAACCTTTTCTTTCTCAGGTCTGTTTGGAGGAGCAGGTGTTGGCAAAACTGTGCTCATTATGGAGCTGATCAATAATGTGGCCAAGGCCCATGGTGGTTACTCTGTGTTTGCTGGGGTGGGAGAGCGCACCCGTGAGGGAAATGATTTGTACCATGAAATGATTGAGTCCGGTGTCATCAACCTGAAGGACACCACTTCAAAGGTAAAACATTTGTAGGAATGTTTCTAGTTTTGCTTATGGCAGTGTGCAAGTCTTGTCATTTTTTTTAATTACAAATCTTAAATTTGACTTTCACGTCTTAACGGACATTGTGGTTGGGTTGACTTCAGGTGGCGCTGGTGTATGGACAGATGAACGAACCCCCAGGTGCCCGTGCCAGAGTTGCCCTGACTGGTCTTACGGTTGCTGAGTATTTCCGTGATCAGGAAGGACAGGATGTGCTGCTTTTCATTGACAACATCTTCAGATTCACTCAGGCTGGTTCAGAGGTCAGTTTGCTGGACTGGAAGTGGTCATGGGGCAGGTTGACACATCTGGAGACATTCTGGTAGATGTAGTGTAGGTGTTAAATAAGTGAAGCTGTATTGTTTTTAACCTTTTAAAATCCAGACCCTTTTTGTTAGTCAGGATGGAATTGGATTCTTTTAGGCTCTTTCCAAAATATGATGAGGTTGCAGTTTTAGGACCACAATTCCATAGGAAAAAGTGTTCAGAAATGCATCAGTGATGTTTCCCTACCTGTATAAAATTGCTTCCAGTTTAAATGTGTATTGACCATGGATGCGGTACAAGTGTTTCATAAACTTGAGTGCACTGGATATAATCCCCTCACCAATTTCTTGTTCCCGTCTTTCATCATTAGGTGTCTGCCCTGCTGGGGCGTATTCCATCTGCTGTAGGTTACCAGCCAACCCTGGCCACTGACATGGGCACCATGCAGGAGAGAATCACCACCACCAAAAAGGGTTCCATTACTTCAGTACAGGTATGGACAACCAAAAACCTGTCAGATATTGCACAGCCCCGATGTACAATGTATTCTGCAGCTTCAATTCAAACTTTGTCCCTTAGGGGAAATATGTTTTACGGCACAAACACAACACAATGACAAACATCACCAAAAGGGAAGAGTATACAGTAGTGTTACAGGATGATGCTTTTGGCTGTCTTAATCGCCCTCTATAAAGGATACTTAAGTTGATTTGATTTTGCCACTTATATTCAGTAACTTACCCTGCCTATTACAATTCCCAGTACTTATGTTGCCAAACCAGCAAGTGAAGCAGTATGTTAAGACTCTTTCAATGAATGATCTTGGAATCTCTTGTTTCACTGTCAAGGCTATCTATGTGCCTGCTGATGATTTGACTGATCCTGCTCCCGCCACCACTTTTGCTCACTTGGATGCCACCACTGTGCTGTCCCGTGCTATTGCTGAGCTGGGCATCTACCCAGCTGTGGATCCCCTGGACTCCACATCCAGAATCATGGACCCCAACATTGTAGGCGCAGAGCACTATGATGTGGCCCGTGGTGTGCAGAAGATCCTTCAGGTAAAAGTCTTCATCAGTTTAAAGAACTGCTGCCAAGGAGCCATGTGTCCAAATGCTTTGTTTTTCAGGGAACTTCCAAACCCTTTTTGAATAAGGAACCTGTTTTTTTTTTTTTAGAGCATTTGGCATTAAAAAGTCAACCATGCAGTATTCCCTAGTGAGTGTTACTTAAGCAGTTTTCACAATTGGTTGGAGGAGTGGTTTGATTGAGACCATGTGGAATGAGGGAATTATTTTGATACACTGATCTTAAGGGTGCAGTGTGCTTAATGACCCTTAAAGGGGAACTGCAATGCTATTTTTATATTTTGGAGTCAAAAGTGTAAAAACCTCCAATTTACATCACCAAATAAATGAAATTACTGGTTATGTACAGCGCCATGTGCTGCGATTCAGAGTGAGGGAACAAAACTTCTGTTGATGTTGTGCCCTGATTACATTAACAAGCAGGCTTGTGAATATCTCTTTTAAGCAATTTTATTGGATTTCAATCTTGAGAGTTTGCCAAAAACTGTGTGCAGATCACGTAGGGACATATTGGTGAAATGTTTGCCCCACAGCCTGTACTTATTCGCTCGTAAGTCACATTACCTCAGTCATTATAATGACTAGTGAGCAGGAAGGGCCACTTCACATCGCAACTGGTAGGAACTTAAGCTTTCACCCATGGTGAAATCGGGGTTTGCACCAATGTTGTGACTTGCAGCACTTTCACAAAGTTCACAATTTTGTGCTTAATTTGGAATTGTAAAATGTTTCTATACTTTTAGGTGAATGTTTCTTACTGAGATTTAATAACCAGTCTGAGAAATTGAGACTGCAGTTCTCCTTTAAATTGGGTGTGAAACTTGCAAGAATGCAATAGTGTGACTATTTTAAATATTTTTATTGCAGGATTATAAATCCCTTCAGGATATTATTGCCATCTTGGGTATGGATGAGCTGTCTGAGGAAGATAAGCTGACTGTGGCCCGTGCTCGCAAGATTCAGCGTTTCCTGTCGCAGCCATTCCAGGTTGCTGAAGTGTTCACTGGTCACTTGGGAAAGCTGGTACCCCTCAAGGAGACCATCAAAGGGTTCAAGAGTATTCTTGCAGGTAATATTTATTAAGCAACACTTTAGACCATGTCAAGTTAACTGGAATGTCTCTTAAAGCCCAGACTCAATAGGAGTAGGTAAGAAGTGACTACATTCTGAACACTGAAGCTTTAAATTTGTAATATTTAATAAGATGGATTCTCAGATGGCATTCTTTACATGTAATTCTGATTTGTTTTATAGGTGAATATGATGGCTTGCCTGAGCAGGCATTTTACATGGTTGGCCCCATTGAAGAGGTAGTCCAGAAAGCAGAGAAACTGGCTGAAGAACATTCATAAATGAAGGGGAGAAATGTTCAGAGGAGCACTTGATTCATAACATTTAACATTCAAAACCTGTATCTGATGTCGTGTCATCTTCCAAGAAAAGTCATTTCTATTTAATGTTTCCATGTTAATGGGAATGGTGGAGATGGAAATAAAATCTCTTGTTGTAAACATTGCTTAGTTTTTGTTTGCTTCTAGACACACAAGGTTCTTTAACAGTCCTAGGCCGATTCCCCAATTGACCTGCTTAATGGATGCAAAAATCAACTTATAGTAGATGGGGAGCTTTGGTCAACACTATTACTAGCTTGATAACAATATTAAAAATGAGGGTGTTCCAGTTGAGCTCTACATGCATTATATGGTACTCTTTTACCCAATACAGACGAGCCTTGGAATAATTAGTTATGGTTTATTTAAAAAAAAGTAGTTAAACATGCATGGGTAGAAGTACACTAAATGCAGTTGATGGTAGCTTTAACCAATCATGTGGCGTAGTTTGGCATTTAATTCCTTTTCCTTTGCAAGAAGGTCACTGCTGTGTTTTTTATAGGCCTCAAAATCCTAGAAAACAATTGGGGAACACTGAGTATATGAAGAAAAATTAAAAAAAAAAATAGGTGTTGGTCTTCAACTTGACTTTTTTCAGTCTTGGTTCACAAGAACTATAGCTGGCAGAGGAGTCCCTTGGAACAATTTGCATGATTTAAATGGTAGCGTTCAACTGTTGCATAATTCCAGACGTTTCGTTAAGCAGGACAACTGTTTTTGGTTTTTCCCCCAAAGTTTCAACGCACCTTCTTTAGGTCATTGTATGACTGTTCCGATTCATCAAGACAGCGCTGAAGATCTTGAACCTTCAGGTTTGCCTCCACAGCTGCTGCTTCTTTCTCAAACCTTTAAAACAAGTTAAAATGATTTAATGGCAACCTATTTCAGCTCTGTTTTCAAGCATGTGCATTCTTACCTCCATATCAATAATAAAATGCTGTGCACTGACCGTTCTTCTGCAGTTGCTCTTGCTTTTTCTGCTTCTTCTCTCTTTTCCTCTAACTCTTGAATCTCTTTCTGTTTATCCTATAAGAGAATAGGGGATATTCATCCATCCTGTAGTCCTGAAGCTGAAAACTTAATTTCTGTTTGTTACTTGTATAAAAAAATAAGTATTTAAATTCAGACTCCTTTATCTTTTATAAGAGGTGCAGTTATAAAAATAAGGTTTTATCTCAATTTTAATTACCTGTATTATTCTTCCTCTTTGCATTGAAAGATCCAGTAGCTCATCTTTCTCCTTGACTAGAGCCTCCAATTTCTGCTGCAGCTGGGATTCTTCCAATGCATCCTTCTCCATTGCTCTTCTGAGTTGCAAGTCTAGTTCTACAATAAGAAAACAGTGCATCTTAGACTAAGAGAATTATGCCTAAGGAGAAAAGCAATCTGTTACCAAAGAGCACTGTGATAGAGACATCAGAATAGACATTTTAATATCATTTACAGCCAATTGAGGTCTGCAGTTTCTCTCTGCTCTAGTTTGGCATATCTGAAAAGTAAAATATGATGTAAACTGTCTCACAATGACAAAAACCTAAGATCTACTACAATAAGCAACTTACTGTGAGTCTAGTATAATACAAGCAACTGTTCTTTGCTCGTATAGCCCAAACTAATGAATACTTACCCGTGCACATTTCCACAGCATCTTTTAATTGTTTCTGGGTATCCTGTAATTCACCCTGTAAAGATGCTTCTTTAGTCTGATGGGTTATGATCAGTTCTTTCAATTTGGTCTGGAATCCATTTGTCTTTTCCCTGTTAAAGACAGAAAATCCTTAAAATCATAGCAGTGTAAAAAGCAGCAACAGAAAATGTACAGTATATTTCCCTATAACAATAACTGAACTACCGAGCCTAAACAACTGGCATTCTCTAAACGGGAAATGATACACTACAATGGGTGAGGAAGATACATTTCTCTTGTGTGGAATTTGGGTTATGCTCACTTATATTCAGCCTCTAGGATCTTGTGCTGTTCTGCAAGGTCTTTTAATTCCTGGGTAAGCTGCAAAATGACTTCCTCTTTCTCCTGGAGCTCTTTACAGAAGAGGTTTTCATTCTCCTGCTGAAGCCTCTCGTTCTCCTCCTTCAGCTCTGCGTTTTGTCTTTTGTACTCGTCTTTGAAGTTGATTAACTCCTGGTGGTTGGCCGCCAAATCCAAGAACCTCTGCTCCAGCTGGGACGATCGCTTCCTCTCGTTTTCCAGCTCCTTGTGCACGTCCTCTCTCAGGGTCTCCAGCTCACTGTTGATCCTCTCCAGCGCCTGGCACCGCAGCAGCATTTCATCGGCTCTCTGCTTTAAAATGCAGATCAGGCTGGATTGCTCGTCAATTCTGGATCTCAGCAGAGCACTTTCCGTCTTGTCGTCCTGGGAAAGACCCCGAAGCTTCTCCAGAGCTGTGTGCACGTCATCCATTTCCTATGCAGAAACAGGACACATATACTTAATGTCACAAATGAAAGACTAGGTTCTTCCACCTCATGTTTGATGTTCAGTTGGTTTATGCGTCTGTATAGATTCGTCTAGTACTACATATACTGTACACACGAAGTAGAAAACAGAAAGGAAAAGGCAAAACTTTAGGCGTGACAGCACGCGTAAAAACAAACGTGGCACCAAAAATGGACAGTTCCTCAGATGCAACCCCGTCGTATTTTAAATTTACCAATTAAAAAAAAAATGTGACGGATCAAGGAGCGTAAGCAGATGGTGACAAAAGATTCGTCTTTATAGGCCTGCATTCGTCATGTGGTGTTGCGTATACATTTAACAGTCAACTCCCTTAAGTATCCACTTTATAAAACAAACATTGCTTATAAATAATGTCCTTGTCGGTGCTTGAAATACAATATGTCCCTAGGGTAAATATTGTAAAAAAAAACCGGACACCAATATCTTTAGATCAGCACAGGAGAAATGAAAAAAAAAACTTCCCTTTGTATTCCATTTAGATACATTTTACGCATACGTATCTTTTGCATATGCCACATATCTCTTATAACCTGAACATAGCTCTAGTCGTGTTCCTTCACTAGCGCCTTACATTGCTGCTGCAATTGCGAATACGCATTAACTCGCAAAAATCATTTAAAAAATACTGGTGCGGAGATCATATTGGCAAACATAACGGACAAAAGCTAGAAAACGGGTGTGGACCGTGGCTGACATGACGTAATTTCTAACCTGCTTCGTGTCGGTGATCATCTTTTTAAGGTCTCTGGGAGTTCGGTGGGGAGATGCCATGTTGATTTTCCCCCTGTAAACACCCCTCGGATACAGATGCTGCTACAAAATCACTGCTGCCCAGCTCGCCTGTTGATCCGTCGACGATCCGTTTGCACTGCAGGTTACAATACAAAGCTTCGCCTGTTGCCACTAGAAACAATCATACGGCGGCCTCACTGGGACAATATTGGCTGTCACTCTGCCTTTTTGTCCTTTGTAAACAGTGTTCCCACATACACATCAACTGCAGCTACTGCCTTTAAAAATTAATACAATAGCTGATGGTACAGGGGGGAAATTGTGACGCCAGACATGTCCCATCACGTTGGATTCTGCAGTTCCTGCAAAGAACATTTGAAGATACAGAGAACCGACATGTTTTAAAATCTGAAAATCTGAAAAAAGAAAGAAACAATCCTTGTTTTGGTGTTCTGGTAGTTGCATTTAATGAATATCCTCAAATGAGAAGGAGTTGGGTGAACTGATTTCCAAGGTTGTTAAAACACTGGGGCAAGTTAGGCCACAAGGTGGAGCTATAGCTCTGCAGTTCTTTGTGGAAAGCGCAGTTTTCTTACGGGTTGCTAATATGTTGTTATTTCTAATCAGGAACTGGTGTAACGTGATGTGACCGTACACTACAGTAATGACAAATTTGGCGTATTGTATGATCCATGTTTTACTTGTGGTCAATTTTTGTTATTACTTGAGGGTGAAATCAATAGCAGGCGATGGGGACATTCTTCGGTTTGGAATAAGCTGGCTGCAATATTTTTTTTATCCCCTTTTAACGGTTTACAAAATGTATACTGATCGTAATAGTTGAACCAATTCCCACACGGTTCCTGATTTTTTTTTTTGTGGGGGGTAGCTTGGGGATATAGGAGGTGGGCAAAATACTAACGGATTCTTATCCTTCAAGACTCCTCAGGAATTCTTTATTTTTCTAGTGAAAGGAGCTCTGCAGGGCTCTGATGGATTCCTGAAGGAGTATTATAGGGTATTTGGAGTTGCAGGAAACCCGCAGGAGTTGGGTCTAAAACGTATTTTAGAAAATCCGCACGATATCGTGTGCAGATGCAATTTTCACGCATGTATTGAATCGGTGAATCTGAGTAAAAAGAACCAATTAAAAAGTAAACAATAATTATTTTTTTTCCTAAAGTTTTTAACTCACTTGCATTTGGAGCAAATCTTACAAGCAATGACTTCAGAATGGAAAAAAACAATTTTAGGACTGAAATGATATACATACAGTATTTAATGAAGAAATAATTTATTAAAACAACTAACTGGTTAAGGTAAACAGCAATGTTAAAATTAACGAAGTTTTATGACTGATGACATTTATTCTAAAGTATTGACTTAACATTTATTATCTGTGTTTATCTGTGCAAAACACCCACTTATTGTACACATTTCTAGAAAATACCTTATCACAGCAACAGAAAGGTGCAAAGTTTTTAAACAAAGGTGTTTTGTTTTTACCTACAGTAGATGGCAAAACAAGAAGCTGTTGAAGAATTTTTAACCCATTTCTCAGCTTTGAAACTGATGATTAAGCAGATCAAGCACCATAAATTCTGCCAGTTGTAAGTGACCTTAGAACACCTGGTTTAAAAGAGTGGGAAGAAAATCCTGGTTAATAAAATGTCATTTATGTTTAACTCATTAAGTCATACATTATTTTGTACTATGGGGCAACACCTCAATGTGTGTGGTGTAGCTGAATCTGAAGTTAGATACCATACCCTGCACTGGTGCCAAAAACCACAGCTCAGGAAAGCAAAATGCTGTCGGAACCTAGAGAACCCTCACAATGTATTTAAAGAATAGTGCAATACAAAGGGTTAAAGTTAGCCACCCTGAAAAATGTAAGAGTCCCCTTATTATCTTGTTACACCTTCTTCTTTTCATGCTTTTCAAAAGAGTCTGAGTTTTTAGCTGTAGCTTTTCATCATTGTCATTTGCTCAAAGGGAAAAAGAAGTGTATGGTCATGTTTACATAAGGCAAAAAGAAAAGAGGCAGAGGATCACTAACACGCTGCTTTAGAATCTTATACGTAAGTGTAGATTGGCCAGTTTCATTTTATACGAACACGCTTGTTAATACCAACTCATACCGTACATGCACACTTTATGTATAGATTTCACATGATTAAAAATGCTAAAAAGGGAATTAACAGAAAGTCAATAACTTATCAGCCCCAACATATTTCACTGAAAATTCAAAGGGGCATGGAGATCAGCTTCTCTTTTGAAACCCAATGACCTTATCTAATAAGTTTAAAAAGGCTCTGTCTGCACAGGTTTAATAAAGACCTTTGTCATGTTCCCTACACCCCCATGTATAACACAAAAACCTTCTCCACAATGTTGTTGCATTACCAATAGTTATTCAATTAGTATTAGTATTTTTAAAATGTCTTTTCTATGTCCCATTCCATTTACATATAAGCTCAATCGAGATTTTTTTTCTAAACCGTATCGTGGTAGTTTTCTTTTCTGGAAACGGGATGATAACCATTATAAGTTTTCATGTATTGGAATAGTAAAATAGGAATAGTGAAATCTTTAAGGTCTTGTTTCTCTTCTGGTGACAATGCTAAATTACATGAAAGTTCTGTGTTGTTTTACAGCTGTAGTTGCAATGCAACTTGTGGTAGATATGGTAGATTAAAATACAGCATTAAAAAGCACTCGCATTATTCGCTGCGAAGTATATTGAGAAAATATTAATTCATAATTATTAATTATTAATAACAACAATTCCCAGATGTCTAAAGTTTTAGTTTTAAAACCGCCTTTTCAATAGATGCGTATGCATAAAACTGGGTGGTTGAGTGAAACTAACGGGACAGTCTCAGTTTCTCTTTTTGAGAGCTCAATGTTGTTTCTACTCTCGAAGACAAAAAACAGATGGGGTTGCGATATTTGCACATCTAGAAATAAACATTGGTTGTTTGTTGTAATCTCAAAATGTATTTGGCAAATTTACTGATAGTAATCATTTTTCTTAAAAATATTAGATGAGCACATTTCGAATTGAATCACCTTCCAGGGTCGCTAGAGCAGTATGGCCGTAATTTTATAACACATATTTTTTCATGATGTCTTTTGCAAATGAGAAGTGGATTCATAAATAGACATTCTAATATATTCCATCTTTCTTGGAGAAAAATATATTTCAAAATACTACATTATATGACACGTTATTGATTTAGCTTTGTAAAAGTGACAGAAACTAACTTTAGCAGGGTTTGGAGGATATTGATAGTTGTTACAAGCATGTAAAATAGGAAAGCAATTTATCTAAACCTTATAAGTAGCCTTATACGCTGGCTAACTTAAGTATATGAAGGATAATGTTTGGTGCAGATCTAATTAAGGGAGATTTCACAGTTAAGGGCTTGTTTCCCAGGAAATTAACGTTTTAGCAATTTGGGAATCAACAATTGGCCTTAGCTTTGAATAGACCTTTCAAACATGTCATGCTCGTTTGTGGAAAATAATTGTGATTTCGAAGTATTATCGAATTAAAACACATTATAGAGATATACACGTATGGTGTTCATTGCCATTAAACAGGATATTAACACTAAATCCTACGAACACATGAAGCTTGTAATGAACAAACCCCCCCCCAACAAATATACTTTATTTTGTCAAACTAAACATTTGCTCCGCCAGTTGTTACCCTTTGGATTAAACTATAGGCTACTTTATCCGAAGTCGAGTCCATTAAATAACGCTGCTGGTTACGTTTGGTCGTCCCGACACTTGCTGTGAAACCACGAAAGGAATTCAACAAGCTCTCTGGCAAAAGAGGTGGATAAAGAGACGCCAGTCATTTGGGGGGAAATTCTTTTTCTCATTCACAGTAAGAAATACTTGCAGTGAAATGTAGTCTCTCGGGAGAATGTTTTTTTTTCTTTCATTCTTTTTTTTTTTCTGCTGTGCCACTGGATGTGTCGAAAAGCTCATTGAATATGCTTATCTTACCCTCGTGTTACTGGGGCTTGACCCCGGTGCTGTCCCGTACCAACACACTAAGGTAGCCCTGATACTGAATACAAGCACTGTGAAGCGCTCCTCCGCCTTCAAGCCATTTACAATATAGTATTGATGGTTATCTCTGCGTTGGCGATTAGAGCTAGCCTTCCCAAATAACCGTTGTCTTTGCGTCGGTTTAATAGGATAAACAGAGATCTGATCTATCACACCTGACACGTAGTCGCCTGAATATACGTGGCCTCACGTAATTTGTGTTAAAATACGAGATTATACATCATCATGCAGATATGTGACTGTACTTTCCTTGAATAAAATTGATTAAAATCAGTAACTGTTGATTTCAAAGAAGTTTTCAACATGATGGTGGTATTTTCAAATAATCTATTCACCAGGTCAGTGCATCCAATATATTTCAATTTCATCTTCATTGTGAAATAAGTAAATTCCATACTGAAATTCAGAAATAAGGCTTAAAATTTGTGAGCTGTGTGTGCCAGTTATATGGGGTGTAAAATCGCCTCTAAACAAGTTAAAAATGGCGCGCTTGAGAGCCGTGAAGAAATGGGTAAAAAGTTGCTTCAAACTGGCAAAGAGGTGACCGTGTGTCTCAATATGCTGTTGCGCCAATGCGCATCATGACAGGTTAACAACTCTTTTTTTGTGTGCCAATTTTAAATCAGCTATCTGCTTTGACTGAGTCACAGAAAAACAGTTGATGGACTCTAAGTTTTCCATAGAAAATGTATTGCCAACGTATTGAACTCGCAGCAAGTACACTGTGTTGTAGGGGTGCGGACGACGACAGCTTATTAGTGTGAATGATTGAATTATGCCGGTTCCTGGGTCCCTGGTAGAAAGGGTTTTTTTTATCCAGTGGGCCGGAGCGAAAGGAGTATTCAAAGCGCAATGTCTCGGCTCTCAAACACGCCCTTTTTCATCAGCTAGCGGGACAAGAAAGAGAGAGGCTAGCAGCGGTAGCATCCCAGTCCCCTAATGCACCTCCAACCACCCGGCCTGGACTGGAGCTGGACTGACCAGCTGGGACGGCACATCAGGATGTGGAAAGCACTCCCCGTGAATTTCTTTCTGTTAACTTTATTCGCGCTTCAGTGCCATTCTCAAGGTAAGCTAAATTCACATTTGTTTTAGGTGCTACATCCCACTCCACTTGAGGGATGGGGCACTAACGGTCGGAAACAAGCCAGTTTAGTTTTTGTATCTTCAGTAGCAAGGGTGGTAAATATGTGGGATATTGCATGTGAAATTCAATATTTCTCTTATTATAAATTAGAAAGCAGGTTATTTTAAGAAAGGTCGTTCTAGAAACATATCCAACACACGCATACTTACAATTCCTGTTCTTAAACAATATGAGTATAGAATCTCAATGTTTGGATTAATGAAATATAAAATGTGTTTTAAACAGCAATGTTATTTAGTTCCACCCTTGTTCTGACATTAGAGATTTCTCGCTTGTTTTAATTTCTATTAGTGTTTCGCGGTGTTTTTTCCAATCCTTGTATTTTTGGGATTCAGTGACAAAATAGCTGTGCCAGTCATGTGAATATGTTAAATCGCTAGAACATTTGTACATATTCTTTAATGATTAAAACTAAGACAAAATCATTAGTTTTCTTTGGCATGCTCCTTTTAAGTCAGCGTTTTCGTATTCAATAAAATTCAGAAACGTTAGTTTAATCTAGAGCACAAAGCCTCCCTCAGACAGATTTGAAGTTCTCTTGGAGAACTTTTGCCTGAGCTTTGCCGTTGCTAGGTAACAGAGGAGAGCATGTGACCAGCAGACAATCTGCGGACTGCAGGCCACTGGTACAAATCTGACTTGGAGGAACTCCTCCGCTCTTAGTTTTGTAACATGTATTTTAAAGATGTCGTAACTTTACAGCAGCCTTTTTGTACAGTGACAGTTTAAGACCCATTGTTGTGCAGGGGGATAAAATAGATTGATTTACTGCAGTCTGTTCTTGGATTTGATCGTGCAGACTTGTGCAGACCTACTCAAATTATAATCTGCTTTCTTTTTGCTCAACCCTTAGTATATAAGCTCCTTAGTGTGAATCAAGCCACTAATTATACTGCAGCTGCTGCTAGAAGCAACCATTTATGTTTCAGAAACAAGACACGAAAACAAGATATATAAAATTCAGATTCAAAATTTGCACTTCGAGACTAGGGTGTCAGTGGAATTGATCTAAAAGTTCGTTTCGCATCGAATCTCACGGTGTTTGTAATGTATGTAAATTGGAATGTTTTGTCACAGAGTAATAGTCTCTGTATATAATAGATCTGTAGGTAATTTATTTTGGTTAATCTCAACAAAACATTACTAAAATGATCGTATATATTTTGCAAGTGTATTGTAAAAAAATATGCACTGTAACTTTGTACTGAGTATAATTTGTAATTGCTTTGATGGGTTAAGACAATTTTTTAAAGAGATATTTAACCATTTCCAAAATAACATCTACTAAGTATGTGCTTCGTGTGATCAGAAAGAGATCTGTCTATGCACTTTCTATTTTTTCAAAAATCCTTTTAAATCTTTAAGATCCAGTAATGTCTTTGTGGGGTGATTATTTACAAAGTAAACTGTGAAACATTTTAAAAGCACCTTTGTCAGGTCTTTAAGGATGCTGATGTAGCAGTTATCGACGCTGGAAACACTGAAGTGATTGTAATTACTATAATATTTAGCTAAGTGTTGTCATTACTTGTATTTTTCTGCTTGTAAATAATTTCCATTAAGGCATTTTTGGTGAAGCAGTGAGAATGTTAATAGTTTTTTAATGTTAATCATCTACAAAAATAGGAATTTCTTGTTCTTAAAAAGTTACCTTTTCAAGTTTAACACTACAGTGGTTCCAGTTAAGAAAACATGTGCTAATGAAGTTAGTCTTCATATTATTAAATGACAAAGTCCAGCTGCACTATGGTAAATAACCTGTTTTAGAAAATGTTTCCCAAAATACGAATGTGGTTTGCTACCCGTGTCTGGCTCTCCTAACATCATGCTAATGTTGTTCAGGTGGGTGGCTGTGTCAGCATGCGTAGGCTGCAAAGGAACAAGTAATAGGTTCCACAGGCGAAAAGGTTGTGTTTTCTTTCTTCTCTTTTCAGCCTGGAATAAACCTATTGCTTGTCCCATCATGCTAATGTGTGTTTTTCATTTAGATCTCCTCAAAAAAGTGAGCAACTAATGGCTGATTTAATCCAGATTTATTCAGCATGCGTTTCAGAGGAAATGACCAAAACAGCCACGAGGAGGGGGACAGGGATTCTGTCATTCACTAATACTCGTGTCTGCTGGGGCTACGAACATCAGTTTTAAAGTCTAGATTTCAAGGATATTTGATCAACGTGCAATACATTATTTTTACAATCCTTGAAAAGAGTCATTTTTACATTTTACTTTGGAATGCTTCAAACCTTAAGGCTTTCTTAGCACAGCTTGCAAAAAAGGAAATAATGAGCAGAATCTAAAAGTGCAACTTGTAACATCATCTTGATATAACACTGGCAGGTTATAGCATTTAGTTAGCTATAGAATTGACTCACGCTGATGAGTAATGCCTGAGATGGGATTGATATCTGACAAAGAGGCATTGTTTGTTTTGTAAATCGCCTTCTTTTTAAAACTTTAGTTTACAATATACATTAGCATATAGTAAATAATTAAAATCCATAGATCCTTGTCTTAGAGCCAATGATCAGACACTTCATTTAGGCATTTACCTTGAGAACAGCACTAATTTACAGAAGGTACCATAGAATCACAGCTCTGGACTTGACAGGGTCAATAGATCATAAGAAGAATTAGATCATAAGAAAAACATATTGACTGAACTTTGACAAGCCAGTGCTACATTGTGCTTCTCTTTAAAAAACTTTTCAATGTGCAGTTATCTTCCCAAATGTAGTAAGTAAAACTGAGAAAAAGTTACACACCTAACCAACTGTATAACCAGAGCACACATGAGAAATAAAAACGCCTGCACACCGTACTGAAGTGACTTCAGAGGTCTGCAGACAGAAATGCTGATAATTTTGGCTTTTTGAACAATAAAATAAAACTGAAATTTTCATTATACAGTGTGTAAGCTGCTTACCTTTGTTTTACAGAAATCTGTAAGTGAAAATGGTCCTATATCTATAACTCTTTTTGATGCCAGTATTTGTTTTTATTTCGGTAGTTTTGTGTCAAGGTAAGAGTAGAGTCAGTCAAAGTATGACCGAGTGCCACTGTAATGTTGGAAGTGGCTTGCAGCATTCACAGTGGCAGTGACAGTATGTCGTGTTACCAAGAAGGACCTGAATACGTGAGTGAAAATCTGACTCGCCTCTGAGAAATGCAAGGGAAGGGCTGGCGAACACATTTTTGACATTTGAAACCATAGTCAATAGGAACCTTGAAAACGAGAACAGCAAACCCATACAAATCAGAGGGAATTCGAGATTTTCTTTTACACCAGCTGTTTCTTTAACCACATGTCACAAAGCACGGGATTCTAGAATGAATATAACTGGCAGGCACCTCGATTTATAATATGTAGTTATTGGGGTATGCTAATTTTACCGTATGCAATAAATTCTGCATTATCCCTTTAAATGGCACCTGTGGACCTGTTAATTAGAATCCACTCCGTTTGGATTGACGTTGAAGGGGTTATGTGCCATGACCCTGTCTTGCCCATAAGGATCTATATTATCTACAATAGGAGGTGCACTACTTAGCATGATATGCAAGGAATGTCTGCATGTATAGAAATGCTCCAACCTTTATCTTACTTTTACCTTTAGATCTTCCATATCAGACAGCAGGATGCAGTCCTCATCATCTTATTGTCTGTTGATGCGTCCTTGTGTGGAGGCATTTGTTTTTAGGGAGTACTAAAAGCAGAAGTAAAGCACAAAGTGTCTTGTGTTATTTATTCTGTTGCTAGCAACCTTTATTGCAAATGCTGTAGAGGGAGAAAGTTTTATTTTATAACATTATATTAACATTATATGTGATTTTAGACCTAAGAACAGAAGTTAGCACAAGCAGAAGCCAGTAATCCTTTCCTTGTGCAGAACAGCTTTAGTAAGGCTGTTCAGTTGTGTTCAGTGACCTCAACAATACGGAATCACAGGAAAATATTAATAAAAACAAGTAGAGAACGAACTGTACACTTTTGAAGTTAACAAGGCAACAAGCTAACTAGCAAGATGAGCAGTTTAATAACAGTCTGTTTTAATGCTCTTGAGAAGGCCGCTAATTAGGGAACTAAAACGTTCAGTTGACAGTACCAACTACACCAGAGGGAAAGCACCTTAGTGGTACTGTATTTTATGCATTGTTTATGTCTTTTTTAATTTAAGAATGTGATCTAAAGCTGTCCTCCCAACACAGTCAAGTACATCCTCATAATAAGTAAACATTTCCTGAAGTCTGTTGTAGAGTTACTAAATAGCTCTAAATGAAATAGCTACAAATAGTTTCCCAAGTTTCCCTTCTGATTGTTCTTATAGAGCACAGCTTTCTGTTTGGGACTTTAAACTACAATGTTTTGTGTCGAGTGACAGTCATTGAAAAAACTCCAATCTCAGAGTCTTGGGGAATGAAAGGAATGGCTGGCTGTAAGGATGTTTAGTTTTGGTAACATAACACATTTCTTACAAGCTGGTATCAAAACACAGGAAATGGAGAAACGTTGGTGGTATCATGTAATTTGACATTATTTTTTTGCATAATGTATTTTAATTTCAGTCATGATGTAATATGAGTTTGTTTTGCACTGCTCTTAAACTGAGTCTCCTTTTAGTGTTCTATATGTGTAAAAAAACTGATTTAAAGATCTCTTTTCTTTCCAGTTCCATACAAATAATGCATATGTCAATTAAAGTCTCTTAATTAAATGTGAATATGTATATTCTTATAATACTAAAAGGTTATTTTTAAAATACTGCAGTTGTTAAATGCAACTGAATAATTATAAACACCTGATAGATTTCTTATTTAACTCTTATGTTTCTAGTTGAGAACAAAACAATGTTTAACCTTTTTAAAATGTAACTTTATAGCATTTTAGAAGTTAAGGGAGGATCAATTGCCTTTTTTGCAGTTAT